GAAAAATGAGACTTCTTTAAATTAAGAACTTTGCTCTTCAAAAGAAATTACTAGGAGAATATAAAGGCAAGCCCATATGCATATATAATATATGATGTATATCATATATATGACATATATATGATATACATCATATATTATATATATGCGTGTATGTGTATCATCTCCAACAAAGGACTCTTATCAAGAATATGTAAAGGACTCCTAAAAATCAACAAGAAAATGACTAGTAACTCAATTTTAAAAAGTGGTTGAAAGGCTCAAAAAAGCCCTCCAAGAAAGAGAATATCCAAATGACCTACTAGCAGAAGACACGTGCTCCATGTCTCTAGTCATCAGGGAAATACAAAATAAAACCACAATGAGATACTCATTACATAAACCACAAGAACAGCCAAATTTAAAAATAAAACTGACATTCCCAAGTGTTTGAGAAGATGTAGTGCAACTGCAGCTCTGCTACATTGCTGGAGGGAGTGCAAATTGGTACAGCAACGTTGGCTGGACGTGTGCATGTTCTATGACTCCTGCACTTCCACTTCTGAGCATACACCCAACAAAGATGAGTATATATTTGTCTGCTTTGTCGAAAAAAAAAAAAGATGACTATATATTTGCACCAAGAGATATCTACCCTGGAATGCTGCTATGAATGTTCGTAGCAGCACCGCACGTAATAGCCCCAAGAAGCAGCAACTGAAAGGTGCAACAAAAGTAAAATGGATTTTAAAAAACTGGGGCAGGTTCATATTAATATAATGGAACACTATACATCAGTGAAGAGCAAGGGGCTGCTGCTATATTCAGCAATATAGGTGATTCTCACAGCTGTACTGTAGAGCAAAAGAAGCAAGGCTCAAAAAGGTAGACACCAGATGACTCTATTTATGCAAAGTTCAAAAACAGGCAAAACCAGCGTGGGGCACCTGCAGTCAGGATAATGGTGACCTTCAGTGGGTAACAACCAGGGGCATGAGGGAGGCTTCCGGGTCGCTGAGTTTTTCTTGAGCCAGCTTGAGTAGATGTCTGTTTCTTATAACCTAACACTCCTTGGCCAACCCAGGGCTCCACCCTCCCTTTCCTGCACTCTGTTCTGCAACTCCCGGTCCTGCACCTGTTGCTTCATTCACTGGATATGAGCCTCGTGGTGGCAGGGACTGGCCACCTCGCCTTGCCCACCTGGGGATCCCCAGCACTCGGCACACCGTTGAGGGCTCAACACAGAATTTTCAAGTACAGAAATTGGCCTCCTTCTAGTAACTTGCATTTTCCACTCTACTTTCTGCCTTACCCCCTGCCTCACTTTTCCCCACCATGCTTCAAAGCTCAACTCAAAGTTCTCCTCCTCCGGGAAGGCCTCCTGCTTGTGCCACAGCACACATGTGGCTCTCTCCCATTTTCTGGCTGTTCTAGCTACTGGTCCTATGACCTAGCTTCCTACCCCTTGGGTGTGACTTGTCAAGGGCAGGGCCTCGTCTCCCACAGGGGACTCACTCATTCTTTCATCTGTGTATCCCAGCAAACCACCAGTATTGATCTGGTGCCTCCTGTGTGCCGGGCCCGTGTTAGGTTCTATAGCCGAGCAGTGAAAAGGCAATGGGCTTGCAGTCTAGTGGAAGAAATGGACAGTAATCACACACACACACACACACACACACACACACACACACACACACACACACGTCAGGACTGTGAAAGAAAAGTCCAGAGTGCGGTGAGACGGAAGCAAGGAGACCTGACCTCATTTGGGGGCTCAGGGCAGGCGTCCCTGAGGACAGAAGCCTGAGAGCAGAAGGTCGAGTTGGCTCAGCAAAGGCAGGAGAGGGGTGGGCTGGGGAAAGGAATTACATGCAGAGGGAACAGCATGTGCAGAAGCCCTGAGGTGGGAGCAAGCACGGCACCCTGAGAATGACAGGTATGGCTAGATCCCAGAGGTGGAGGAGCAAGTGGCACAGATGTGGCTGGAAGGTCAGGTTGTGGCTAGACTGGACAGGGCCCCCAGGGCTCTGAGGATGATTTGTGGGAAGAGCGCACCACCCAAGGCTGTAAGCAAGCAAGTCGTGATCTGGTGGTGCCGTGGCTTTGGGCACTTGGAAGCCCAGGGCAGGACTTCCAGGAGCTGGGGGTTCCGCCTGGGGCCTTGCTCACCGACGGCTTCGCTGCTGCACGTAGGATGGGACTATTGGCTCCTGGAGGAAATCTGGAAAGACTCTAAACTCTGCCCTGGGCTCCCTTCCTGGCTGGGGAAGGTCCCTGTGCTGAACTGCAAGTGCAGCACCAGGGAGTCATTATGTTATTTTAGTAATTTCTAGAAAAAATGGCCAGAGACCCAACCTTGCCCTTTGGGGGTGGCTGTACGCACGTGGGCATCTGTGTTCTGACTCCAGGCGTTTGTTCTGTGTCCTGACCTTTTTACTGAGCAGTTTTGGTTGAGTTCAGTCATTTTGTAGTTGGACAAGGCCAGGTAGAGAGTGTCAGCGTGGACTCTCGGCAGGGAGGTGGACACTCCACTGCAGTGTCGGCGCAGGGCTTGCTGGAATGAGACCAGGAGGACACGGGCAGGGAGGAGGGCATGCCAGCGCAGGGAGAGGGGTCGTGGGTTAAGGACCACCCTTGGGGGCTAAACCAGGCTGGGGTGCCTCTCATCCATCTGCAGGTTGGCTCTGACATTCGGGGAAGCTCCCTTAAAAATGTCAGCAGTGACTATGCTCAGTATCAGGGACCCTCGGACCTTTGGCACACAAGGCTAGGAGGGCAGGACACAGGAGCTGGGCCCCTGACCTGACGGTTCAGCATGAGGTGGGCAAGGCAGCCAAGTGCAATAAGAGTAAAGTCCCGCATGGCATTTACTACGTGCCAGACACTATTCTAAGCACTTAACAGAGAGGCATCCATTTTGTAGAAGAAGAAACTGAGGCACAGGGTATTTTGTCCAAGGTCACACAACTAATATCAGAGCTGCTGGAATGCAAGTCCAGGCAGTCTGGCTCCAAGCCTGTGCTGTGCTGCCTTTCCGTGCTAAGATGTTTATCCACAATGGGGCTCTGGAGAACAGAGCCAGCAGGAGGCAACACCTCAGCAGGTCTGCACCTGGGGGCCCAGGAGATCAAGGGTCCTGGCCTGGCAGAAAGGGGTTCTGATTAGATACTGGGAACCGAAAAACAAGGGGTAAGGCCGGGCACAGTGGCTCACACCTGTAATCCTAGCACTCTGGGAGGCTGAGGCAGGCGGATTGCTCGAGATCAGGAGTTTGAAACCAGCCTGAGCAAGAGTGAGACCCTGTCAGTATAAATAGAAAGAAATTAATTGGCCAACTAATATATAGAGAAAAAATTAGCCGGGCATGGTGGCGCATGCCTGCAGTCCCAGCCACTCGGGAGGCTGAGGCAGGAGGATTGCTTGAGCCCAGGAGTTTGAGGTTGCTGTGAGCTAGGCTGACGCTATGGCACTCTAGCTCGGGCAACAGAGTGAGACTCTGTCTCAAAAAAAAAAAAAGAAAAGAAAACCAAGGGGTATTGGTCTCCTGTGGATGGGCCTCAGTTTTCCCGAGATGCATGGAGACACTGTCCCCTAAGCTGAGCTGATGGGCTGCTGGGCAATCATGCTCAGGCTGGCATACCCCATTCTCATATCATTTATTCATTCAACAATCATTTCATTGAGCATTTACTATACACCAGTCTTTTAGGTGCCAGAGGTATATATCAATTAACAACGGAGAGCCTTCCTTGCAGTGGTGTTGGAGAAAGGGGGAAAGATATTAAACACTGACGATACTAAACTACAAATGGTGATATGGGATTTTAAGGAGAACATCGAGGGGCTATGATAGAATATTATAGGAAGCATGACTTAGTCTTCTTTGGGAATGAGACTTCTAGATGTAAGATTTTTTTTTTCCAATAAAACTCTAACTTAAGAGATCTATTTACTTTATTTGGTGATACCTAATATAGTTTTGAAAATATTTTAAAAAAGAAAAAGACTTGAGATTTTTAAACAGAGTTGCATGGAACTCTAGGGTTCTATGGAAGTTATTTCCAGAGTTACGCAAGCCTTTAAATTGAATTTGAATTTGAAAAAAATATATATATATATATATGCACACATCCTATATATTTCTTAAAAAAATAATTAACAAAAAATAAAGCACATTTGTATAGTCAAGTATACTACATACCATATTGGAAACTGCTAGCTCATTCAGGTATTGATAAGTTACCTTGTTTTGTTTTTTAGTGAGGACTTTAGGATAAATTTCTCCAGTTCTTTCTGTGCAGTCATTGGAGTTTATAGTAAATGTGTTTACTAATTGGGAAGGAGGTGGTACAACATTTGTTTTTATTTTATTGGTAAAAATTCAGGTGTAGGAAAAATGTTTAATTGGATTTATTGCAACTTATTTTTATGAATTATGATTATCTTACTATTATGCAGCCAAAACAAAATATAGAAACATACTGAACACTGAGCCAATGTCAGACTTCAAGGGTCACCCCAGCCTCTGGGGTCAAGTCGTCGTAGCCACTGAAACAGCTCTGTTGTTTCCATTAAGTCTTTTTATGGCAAGTAAATGTTGCATATTTGAACTTATAAATTATCTGTTTTATATGAATTTTAAATATTGATATTCTGGGTAGGATTTCATTGGAAGTAAAACCAAGTGTGAAAATGCCTGCTTTGGTTCAGGGTCATTGGAGACCTGGGCTGCTTCCATACTGCTTCCTTTCCAGCCCAATCTTAGCCGCCCCCCTCACCCCCACCACCCTCCCCTGCCCTCTCATTCCCTCACAGCCTCTGACAGGTGCCTGGGAATTCTTGATAGAAAATGCACCCCTCCCGGGGGATGGCACAGGCTGCGCTGAACTGGGACTGAGGCAGGTCCCCACACCAGGTGGCAAAGGCTGCAAGACAGAGCTCTGGCCCACGCCCAGGGCCTTGGACCCCAGCCCTACCCCTCCCCAGGCCAGGAAGAAAACAGCCCGGAGCTGCACACTCACCCTTCTTGGTGGCCTCGAAGCTGTCATGGAAGTGAATCCTCTGGATGTCATAGGTCAATGTCGTGTTGGGCAGCAGAGTCCTGTTCCTGTTGATGATGTTGGCAGAAAATCGAAAGGCGTGCTCCTCGGCATTCATGACCTGGGCGTTGGGGCCATCCGCATACTCAAAGATTCCTCCTGTGAGAGACGGTGGGTGAAATTGTGCGTGGTGGGGAGGAGGGGTGGGGCTCTAGCAAGGGCGCTCGGCTCGGAAGGTTTTATGGATAAGATCCCCCCCTGCCCCCGAAATATTCAATAATACCCTTGATAATTGCCAGACATAGAAACTGTGCTGGAGCATAAGAAATATGAAAATCCTCCTAGTTCGTTTCACTCAACCAGCAAATTCCTGATAACAGAGCCTGACAGGGCCCAAATAAGATTACCAACTTATTAATATTGCTGTGAAAATCCTCAATAGAGTTCTGGCAAGTAGAATCTACCCGAATATTACAAGGATAACACACCATGACCACGCAGAATTTTATTACAGGAATCTAAGACTGGTTCAATATAGAGAAATCTATGAATATCATTCCATCCCATCAATAGTTCAAAGGAGGAAAAAAAAAAAACCCACATGATCAAATCACAAAATGCAAGAAGGCATTTGATAAGATTCAATATCTACTGCTGTTAAGAATGCTTAATAAAATAGCACTAGAAGAGACACTTTGTTGAAGCATCTTTAGCACAAATCAGCCTTTAATATCACACTAATGGTGAAACACCAGAGGCATTCTCATTAAAGAATTTTAAAAAGGCCTGCGCGAGGGTTTATACCACACTATTAACCAATGAAATAAAAAAGAAAAAGAAGTTAGAGGCATAACTTTTGGAAAGACATAAATTCTTATTTGCAAATGATATAGATGTTCCCTCCCCAGAAAACCCTTAAAATAACCCCTACACATGAAAACAGTAAGAGCCAGTAGGAGAATTAAGTTAAATGACCAGTTAGCACAAATTAATAGTGTTTCTTTATATCACTGACATTCAGCAAGAAAACTTAATGGCAAATGAATTTCCTTTACCATATCAGCAAAAATATTAAATAGCTAATAATAAACCAAGGAAGAAGAGTGCAATTCTGATTTTAAAACAATGAAAAAAACAAAAACACCTTAAGTGAGAGATATAAACATAAACTTAAATGAGGAAGCATGATGTGTTCCTGAATAGTAAGGTTCAAGGTTAGAGGTGTCAATTTTTCCAAATTAATTTTTTAGTTTAACGCAATTTCAATCAGAATCGTGGAAGGATTTTCCTTTTACTTGATTAAATGACTCTAAAGTATATCTGGAAAACCAAATATAAGATAATGATCAAAACATGTTTTAAAAAGAATTATGAGAGGTGACCTGTACTGCCAGATTTTAAAATATATCATGAAGCCAAATAATTAATTCCATGTTATAATTACATATGCAAACACAAATCGATCAGTAGAACAAGATAAAAAGCCCCCAGAAGGAGACTCAAGTAGAGATAAGTATTTAAAACATGATAGAGATGGCTATTTCCAATCAGTAAGTAAAGAATGAATTATTCATTAATTGTACTGTGACAATTATTCAACTATTTGGGAGAAATTTAAATTAGAACCCAATCTTAATCTATACATAAAATAAATTCCAGATGAATTAAATATTAGTAGATAAAGAATAAAAGGAGGAAAGAAAATACTATAGAAAGTACTGAAAAAGAAAATATAGGTTAATAATATACAATATTGGGTTGGAGGAGGCCTTTCTAAGCATTTCAATAAAGTCAGAAACCACAGAAAAAAAAATTAACTCCACAGAAATAACATAAAAATTCTATACATCAAAAGTACCATATACAAAATTAAATTGCAAACACAAACTTGGAAAAAATATTTGTAACGTATATGGCAGTATAAAAAAGTATGACATCTTGATTTTATAGAAAGCACTTAGTACTCAACAAAAAAGACACGTACTCCAATGCAAAATGCGCAAAGTGCAAGTATGGATGTTTCACAAAAGAAAAGAAAATAATACAAATGAGCTATTAACATTGAAGAAACGTACAACTCCCTAATAATTAAATAAACTCAATTTATACCAACAGTGAGACATCATTTTTTGCTCATCCAGTGGGTAAAGATATAAAATAAAGTAAAACACCAGGTTTGGTGAGGGTGTTTGGAAATAGACACCTGCTTAAGTGTTGGTGGAAGGGGCAACTAGTGCAGTCAACCTTTCTTCATGGCCACTAGAAGTTTATCAAAAGCCCTAAAAACATCCACGTCTTTGAAGCAATACTTTGATTTCTAGGAAGTGACTCCGACAGCAACCATGGGCACATGGATAACATATGGGGAAGGAGATCTAGAGATATCCGACCAGAGAAATAGTAAATAAACTGAAGTATATCCATATAATAGCAAAAATTTAGTGACATGGGGAATATCCATGATATATTTTTACGTGAACAATGAAGGTTTCTGCTGGAGGTACGGTAAGACCCCACCTTAGAAGAAGAAAAAGAGTCCAGAAGCTTTGTAGAAGGTGAAAATAAAAAAAATAAAAGAGGAGGAAGAAGAGGAATCTATGTCATTAACAAAAGGATAGACAGAAACTACATATTTTGTTTTTAATGCCTTTCTATATTTTACAAATAAACCTTTATTCTTTTCTTAATGCTTTTCTATATTTTACAAATAAATCTTTATTCTTTTTAAAAATCAACTTTATTGAGGCATTAGTTTCATCCTACAAAATTCACCTGTTTTAAGTGTACAATGATTTTTAGTAAATTCATTGAGTTGTGCGACAATCACCACAGTCTAGTTTTAGAACCCTCTTGTCACCCGGTAAGATCCTTCATGTCCATTTACAGTCAAGCACGGTTTTCACTCCCACCCTCAGGCAGCCACTGATTTACTTTCTGTCTCTAGAGATTTGTCTTTTCTGCACATCTCACATACATGGAATCATGCAGGATGTGGCCTCCTGCATTTGGTTTCCTGCCTTTAGCATAGCGTTTTTAAAGCTTACCCATATCGTAGATGTGTCAGTACTTTATTCCTTTTTATTGCTAAGCAATATTACTTTGTATGGATGCACCACATTTTCTTTGTCCATCCATCAGATGATGGGTATTTGGGTTGTTTTAATTGTTTTGAAAACTAAGAAAATATATAGTGGTTTCCAGTTTCTGGGCTGGCACCTAGGAAGCTTAGAAATTGCCCCTCCGTCCTAACAACCAGTGACAAGCTGAAGAATCTGAAAACTCAACAACTCTTCTCAGATCTGCGAAAGACGCGAGGTCACGGGGCAAACCACTGCTCCCCAGATTGGAGACAGGTTAATAGAATTACAACTTCCTGGAGCAGAAACCTCTGTGGGAACCAGGGTGGGGGTGGGAAAACCCAAAGTGTCCGTGACAAGTTGCTGGCTGCTCATCTGGACAAGTCCAAGAGACAGAAACCTCAGGGAGACCCATTCATCAGGCCCCCAGGACTTCTATCAGTTCCACTCCCAGAAATCCACCTTGTCCCCATGGTGAATACTGGAGAAATAGCCCATGTGCTTCTGGCAGTGGAGGGAAGGAAAGGAACCACTTTGACGTATGCCAGAGCATTCCATTCTTAACCACGTTTGTCTTCAGGTGAAACAAGTTAACCAGAGTCTACCCTGCTGAGGTTTCATCAGAGCCTGACTGACTGACCTGGTGGAAGAGAAATGCCCCAGTTCAGCCCGCTCTAGCCATCCTGTCCTGCCTAGGTGGCGGGTAGTTGAGAAGCACTTGTGACATTGATAGCCCAGCAGCACAGGCTCACTAAAAGACTGACACCTGCTCACAGGACTATGGCATGCTCCTGCCTCCCCCACACCTTACCACACATCACGAAAGGCCTGTTTACTCCTGTTCCTTTTACCCAGTACATCATGTGTGGCTGTCAGGAAAAAAATGGCAGGGCCTATTAAAGGGCAAAAAACCCCAACACAGTTTGAAGAGACAGAACAAGCATCAGAAGCAGACTCAGGGATGGATGTTGAAATTATCAGACCGGAAATTCAAACCAACTATGATTAATATGCTAAGGGCTCTAATCGGTAAAGTGAACAGCATGTGAGAACAGGTGGGCAATGTAAGCAAAGAGATGGGAATTCCGAGAAAAAAAATGATAGAGGTCAAAAACTCAGTAACAGAAAGGAAGAATGCCTTTGGTGGGTTTATTAGCAGACTGAACACAGCTGAGCAAAGAATCTCTGAGCTTGAGGATATCTCAACAGAAACCTCCAAAACTGAGAAGCAAAGAGAAAAAAAGACTGGAAAATAACCCCAAACAGAACATCCAAGCACTATGGGACAACTACAAAAGGTGTAACAATGCCTAATGGAAATGCCAGAAGGAGAAGAAAGAGAAATAATCAGAAAAAAGATCTGAAAACAATATTAACTTTCCCCAAATTAATGTCAGACACTAAAGTACAGAGCTAGGATGCTCCGAGAACATGAAGCAGGATAAATGCTCCCTAGGTGTATCATTTTAAAACAAAAGAGAAACAAAGATTAAGAAAAAAAATCCTGGCAGAAGCCAGAGGAAAAATACATCTTACAAAGAACAAGCAAAGAACAAAGCAAAAAACAGAAAACAGTAACAAACATGGTAACAGTAACAAACGCAGAGGCGCAAAGATAAGAATGACCTCTGACTTTTCCTCAGAAGCCATGCAAGCAAGAAGACAGTGGAGTGGAATATTTGAAGTGCTGAGAGAAAAGACATCAACCTAGAATTCTGTACGCTGATAAATTATTCTTCAAAAATGATGAGAGATTAAGACGTTCTCTGACAAACAAAAATTAAGGATATTTGTTGCCAGTAGATCCGCCTTGTAAGAAATGTTAAAAGAAATTCTTTAGAGAGAAGGAAAATGGTATAGGTCAGAAACTTGGATCTACATAAAGAAAGGAAGAATGATGGAGAAAGAATAAGTGAAGGTAAAATAAAATTGTATTGTTCTTATTCTTAATTGATCTAACAGTTTGTTGAAAATAATATCAACAATGTATTCATATGTGTATATATATATACATACTTATGTATGCTTATATATAAACAAAATAACAACAATGATACAAAGATGGGAGGGTGAAATTAGGAT